CAACCTAAGAAAAGGTTTTTATTATTTTCAAGTAAAAGCACTGTAAATGATCTAACATAATATTTGATTTGAGAAATAACAGAGGACTATGCAGTATGTGCAGGGTACTCTCATCTTTCTCGCATCAACCAAATAAACAAAAATAGAAACTGAGACTCAGAGAAGAAAAATAATTTCCTCGAGAGCACATGAAAATTCTATGGCTAATTGCATTATTATGGCAATACATAAAACTATTTGCAGCCTCGATTATCAGGCGAATAAGCCCTGTTCCCTTCTAATTGTTAAGCTTCTGTGGAATGGGTAACCAGACTGCCACAGAATAGTTTGAACTGTATGTAGACTAAGTGTAAACAGGCTCTGAGTGAAGTCCTAAGGGCTTGTCTATGAAGAAATAGCAGAATCTTGAGTGTTGACTTTAGGAAGTCCAGATGAGTGTGATGTCTCTATATTCTTGGCTAATCTTTGATCCATATAATACCAGGAATGTTAAGATAATGTGTCACATACTTATTTTTTAAATTTATTGGGGTGGCATTGGTTATTATGGTTATATTATGTTTCAAGTATACATTTCTATGATACATGATCTGTATATTGCATTGTGTGTCCACCACCCAAAATCAAATCATCTGAATGTCACAGAGTGGATGTTTATAAAGGGGAAGCTCAAACCATGCCTGCATATGTGGGCAAGGCAAGTGAGTGGTAGGGAAAGGCTCTCTAAGTTCTAGTTTGAATGTTTTTCTTAGCCAGCTTAGAGTTGAAAAACCAAATGCGAGACCATTCTATTAACTAAAAGCTCTTCCCTCTCATCTTGCCTTCCATATTTCTGTTCTGCTACCCTGGTTACCTGAAGAAGACACTGTGTCTTCTCCAGCAACTCTCTCTCCTTTGCCTCTTCCCCTACTCCATGAAATGAGTCATCAGTTCTATCAATTAAACGTCCCACAGATTGTTCCCACCTTTCCAACCACCCCTGTAGTTCTGCTCTCATTGAGATTGATATAACTCTTTTTCTGGGAGAAAAGAGGCTGCAGTCTCTTCTTCCTGCAAGCACTCTTTCTTGCTTCCACCAGAGGGGTCTTCTGAGAGAACAGTTCTGACATGTAATTTCCGTGTTCAAAACTCTTCTGCAACTTCCCCTTTGCCTACGAGATAAAGTGCAAGTTCTTGACTGGGATTCAAGGCCAGTCCATCCTCCCACTCCAGCTTTATCTCTCATAGTATCTCTTCACACAAATGTTCCCTGAAAACTCCTTGTTCTCTATCAAGCACCACACATTTCTGATTTCAGCACATTGGCTGACTCTCTGCTTGGAATGCTCATCTTTGTATCTTTGCCTGTAAGACCTATTATTGCCAAGCTCAAGTCCATGGGGACTATACCCTCCTCCAGCCTGTATGCAGATTCCAGAACTGCCCAGCTAGAGGCAGTCCCGTCTTCCTGGGAGTGACGGGGCAATAATGACTTTCTACCTAGTGTTAATAATTTTTGAGAGAAGTTCCCTCTTCTCTCTTGCACCACATATGTGGGAACCAAGACCAATCCGGGGCCTTGCTGTATATTCCTCCATCACCAAGTCGAGGGCACAGCACAGATAAGAATGTGTGAAATACTTGGAGAACCACAAAGTGTGAATAATCTCAACCCTTAAGAGAAAGGTGCCCTGGGTGGGTCTTGTGATTAGGAAGCTGTAACTACTTGCTTCTTGGCTGCCTGGGATTCAGTCACTCATTCAGCAAATATAACTAATGGCAGTCATTGGGCATTGGGTTCAACCCAGGGGAAGACAGGTAAATCAGACAAACCTCCATCTCCTGGAGCTCCAATGTCAGTGGAGGAACAGAAGTTCATATAAGACACTTCAAGTCAAGGCTGGCTATAGTAAGTACATAATTGCCCCTCTCCACAGCAGTCTTGTGCTGGACAAAAAGGCAAGCAGATGGCCAGACAGCTTTCTCTGTCTGGGAGCTCAGAAATGCTCTGCATTTGCTTGTTCCTTGATCTGCAGCATGTCTCCCTAAGGCAAGTGTGGCCATATAATTTGCAGGGCCCAGGAAAATAAGAATTCAAGGCCACTTGTTCAAAAATTATTAAGAATTTGGAAGGGCAACAGCAAAGCATTAAACAAAGCATAGAGCCCTTCTATGTGCAGGGCCCTGTGGAATTGCACAGATCTCACTCCCATGAAGCTGGCCCTGTCACAAGGCTAGGAAGCATATACACAAGAGGTCTGGATGTGCCCTGAAGTCTTCTCTCTTGTACAGAGTCTGAAGGGAGCCAAGATCCCAGTGAATTTAGTGGCACTAGGAGGCACAGCTGCACAAAGGTCAGTACCAAATATTTGTTTAGTACCTACTGTGTGCCCAGAATTCATCTAAGTTTCAGAGATGTGTTGGAAAACCAGACAGACACAATTTTTTTTGTTTTGTTTTGTATTATCACTGAGCTTACTCCAGTAGGGGAAACCCACCATTAAAAAGCTCATAAAGAATAGCCCATGAAAATTATTAGTGAGCAGTATTGTGAAGATGAGAAAGCACAGTGATAGGATGGGGATGGGTGATGGAAAAGTTGTATTAAACTAGTGTGGTACAGCAAACCCTCTCAAAGGAGCCATCAGGTGATGTGGGATATACACAGCCCATTCTAGAGCAACAGGTAAGGATGTTGCTAGTGTTTGGCATCAGCTTGATAAACAAATCTTTGCCATTCTTTCCCCTCTGAAGTGAATCATAAGGGTCTAAGCAAGAAAGATGAAGTCCAAGGATGCCTTAAGACTTGAGATGTTCACCCTGAATGGGAGCATTTATGTCCCTTCCCATCCTCAGTGCCTTCTCACTTTTTCTGGCATCACCAGGAGCCAAGTCTTCAGAAAGATTTGACCAGCTGATCTTGCAGAGGGGATTTCCAAGTTCCCTCCACCCTAAGTGGTCCGTCTCACACTCAGACGCCCAGGCTGAGCCAGAAGCCAATTGTGTCAGTTTCTCTGTGGAGTGTTAGGAAAGTCCTCCAGTGAATGTGTCAGCTTGGTCTTCTGTTTACAGGTCCTGTCCCTCCCTCAAATACCTGGGGAAATAGTAGCTCATATCAGCTTGCTAGGGAGACCCCCCAAGTCTCTCTTCTTCCCCTGTGTCAAGGAAGGTGCTAAATTACCCATTTGCTTTTGGATGTCAAGAGATGTGTTCTGAAAGACTGGAAGGTGTGGGAAATCTCAGAGGCCAGGCTACTTGTGGAAGCAATGGGGTGCAACAGGAGGTGGTGGGGACCCAAGGGCTGGAGGCCATAGTTCTACCCCGCAGACTGTCAGGGGGTCATGGAGGAAGAAGCAGCACATCCAGCTTACCCATTCTGTCCTTGCCAGGCCCATTCTGCTACCACCCTGGCGGGTGCAGCCTTGGGCCTCTAGTTTCCCCACGTGGGGGGGGGGCACAGACGGACACCACACGCAGGCCAGCTTGCCAGCTTCCTCCCTCTCTTGTTCTCAGTCCCTGGTTGTCTGGCAGCACCATAGTGGTGGGGGCATGTGGGAGCTGGGGCTCCTTCCTCTCCCTCTCCCTCCTCCTCCCATTGAGGCTCTTGTTGACTGCCCCCCTCCACTCTGCAGCTGCAGTGTAAGTTATCTGAGATTTCCTTCTGGGCCCAAAGGGCAGAGCCAGGGTGGGAAACGCAAGGCCTGGCGAGTGGGAGGAGTGAAAGTTGGAACCCATTCTTCTTCTTTACAGCTGCATAGTATTCCATGGTGTAAATGTCCCACAGCTTTTTTACCCACTCATCTACTGATGGGCACTTGGGTTGTTTCCAGATCTTAGCTATTGTAAATAGAGCTGCTATGAACATCGGGGTACATATATTCTTCCTGATTAATGTTTTAGGATTCTTAAGATACATTCCTAGGAGTGGAATCACTGGGTCAAATGGCAGCTCCATTTCTAATTTTTTGAGGAACCTCCATACTCTTTTCCATAGTGGTTGCACCAGTCTGCATTCCCACCAGCAGTGTACTAGGGTTCCCCTTTCTCCACACCCTCGTCAGCACATGTCGTTTGTTGATTTGTTGATGGTAGCCATTCTGATAGGTGTGAAGTGATACTTCATTGTGGTTTTAATTTGCATCTCTCTGATGATCAGTGACGTGGAGCATTTTCTCATGTGTCTCTTGGCCATCTGTATGTCCTCTTTGGAGAAGTGTCTGTTTAAGTCCTTTTCCCATTTCTTAATTGGGTTGCTTGTCTTCCTCTTGCTGAGTACTATGAATCTTGTACCTTTTGGGACAGTATGGATGGACTTGGAGAATATTATGCTAAGTGAAATAAGCCAGGCAGCGAAAGACAAATATCACATGATCTCACTTATACATGGAATCTAAAGAACTTAATAAACTGATGAACAGAATAGATTCAATGACATGAAAGCATAGATGAGACTAACAAAAGTCAGAGGGATGGAGGAGAGCGGGTGGGTGGAGGGGGAGAGAGTAACCAAAGAATTTATATGTATATATGTACAACCCAAGGACATGGACAATGGTGGGGAGAGGGACTGGAGAAGGGGAAGGGACAGGGTGGAACAGGTCATTGGGGAGAAAAAGGGACATCTGTAATATTTTAAACAAAAATAAAATTAAAAAAAAAAAAAAGAAAGTTGGAGCCCAACAAAACGCTCCACACTGCTCTGGGTTCAACACCACCACTGGTTTAGTCTCAGGGTTCCCACCCCAGCTATCCACTCCATCCCTTCTGTCTCCAGCCTCCTCCTTTCTTCTTCATCCGCAGCCCCCCACCGCCCTCCTGGGTCTTGGGCAATCTGGAGCCCTTCTGGGAGGAGTGAAAGTGGGAGGCTGAACCCAGAGCTGTGTGGAGCATTTTGATGACTTCCAACTTTCACTTCTCCCACTCGCTCGGCCTTGCGCTTCCCACCCTGGCCCCGCCCCTTGGGCCCAAAAGGAAATCTCCAACTTAACACTGCACAGGTAGTTGTACCGGTCTCGGGCAAGATGTTGACCAAAGTTCTCCTGATCCTCCTGGACATGTCCATAATCCTGCCTTCTAGGTGAGTCTTCATCCCTGAACCCAGGAGCCCTTTGAACCCAGCTCCTTCAGCCAAAGAGCTAGGCCTGCCCCTGGGAGCTCCAGGCCCAACTTGCCCCCAGCCCTTGTGCAGCCATCCTCCATGCAGCTTCCTGTAGAACCTGTGGGCTGGACCTCTGAAAGGGCGCTCCCAGGGAGGAGGGTACGAAGCCTGTGCCCTCGCCGCTCGCGGTGCAGAACTCTCCTCCAAACTAACGGCTGAAAACCAGCACGTCTTCTTAGTCTTCCGTGGGAAAAAGTGAGCACCCATGGGGCAACCTCCCAGGGCAAGCTCTAGCTCTTTGGCAATGGGGTTGGGAAGATAGCACTCAAAAAGGTGCGCGGGCTGGGGGAGCAAAACTTTGCCTAAAGTGTTTGAGTGTTGGCCAGTCTGCCTTCTCGTTCAAAAACTTGGTTTCTGAGCTCTGATAGAGTACCAAGTATGGTGCCAGAGAACTCGAGCTTTACTTGTTTCCCCTTCCCTCCATTCTTCTTGATGCCAGGCCCAGGCACTAGCCTGGTTTAGTCTCAGGGTTCCCAGGCCAGCTATCCACTCCATCCCCTCTGTCTCCAGCCTCCCCCTTTCTTCTTCACCGCCCCCCCCACACCCTCCTGGGTCTTGGGCAATCTGGAGCCAAAGGCCAGGAGTGTTATTCTCTTAGGTCTATGGTCAGGGTCTTGGTTTTCAGTCTCTCCTCACTTTTCTAAAGGCTTGAGCAACCAGTTTCCCTCGAACCTTCTAGCCCTGTGACTTTGCTAGGAATGTTGTCCCCTACATTTCTGGCTTTTTAGGATGGAAGATGACTGCTTCATATTTCTGAGAGGGTTTCACACTGGCTGCAAACTGTCAAGTGTCCCTAAGCTTCCTTATCTGTCCAACATTCTCCAAGTCTCCATGGCTCTGGGTTTGTGTCTTATCTGTTTTTGGGAGAGGGAAGATGGCTTCTCTTCTCACTTAAGAATACTTTAGTTCCTCAAGGAAGGAGCTGTATGGTTCCCTGCTCTCTCACTGGTGCCCTCATTTGGGGGGTGGGGGAGAGCAGCAGAGGCTTGGTAAATATTTTTGAATTTGTGCTAAGAATTTCCAGTTATCCACATCCATCCAGATGTGAAACGGACTGGTTGAGAGAGCTGACATGATGAAGGGCTAAGGAAAAGAGGGATGGGAGCAGGGAAGGAGGGAGGGGGAGCAGAAAGGGAAACAACCAGGAAGATGGGCTATTGAAATGGAAACTACCTTTCTACCCTGGGGGAAGGGCTGCAGTAACTGAAGTTCAAACTTTGTCAACATGGCAACCGTGATGTCAAGAAAAAGCTGGGGAGAGGGTAGTGGTTTGTACTGGCCAAAGCCTCATCGAACCAGGAATACTTGCTCTGGTCCAGGCTCAGCCTCAAAAAAATTGTGTGACTTTGGGCACAGCCCTTCCCCCATCTGCGCCTCATTTTCTCCATCTGTAAGGTGAAAAAGAGGGCTGATTTGGAAAAAAAAAAAGAAAAACAATCTAGTAGCCCTTCTCTAATTCCTTTCTTTCCTCCCAGCCAGCTAAATGAACATCCTCAGTAGGGGTAAAAGTTGCAGAAATTCAGCTCCATCTTTGACCATCACATCTAAAAGAGGGATGTGGATGCCTGAAATGCCTCCATGGAATGATCCCACTAGTCCAGTGCATGAGTGTTTTTCAAGTTTTTGTTAGTTCTTGCCCTGAAAGTTGGCTTAATGGCTGACTGAAGAAAAGTATGCATTGTCAGCAGCTCCTTAACCCCAAGGATCAGAGGATGAGAGTGTTTTTGTTTGTTTGTTTGTTTGTTTGTTTATTGAGAAAGATAATTGTAGGATTACAGCAACCTGAAGACCCTCTGATATCATTTTCATTACAGACTAATGTAGGAGCAGGGGGGCTTTGGTGACCCTGGGCTTTTGTTTATTTGTCTCTTGAACCTTGGGGTTCTTGCTTTTGGCTTCAGACATCAGGGAGGAGCTGCTGCAGGTTCTTCTATAGCCTTGGTTGGCAGTACCAGTCTAAATAGTGCCATACTCCCAGCTATGTCACTCATTTTTCTGGGCCTCAGGCCCTTCTTCTCCCTCCACCCCTCCAGAAGCGATTGGTATTATCTATTCAGGGGACTAAGGGAAAGCCTCAGGGAGAGGGGACATCTCTGGATGTGGTATTTAGAAATGGAAACTGATTTTTCTAAGCCCAATTCTCCCCTTGCCCACAGTGGGAATTAGCTACTTCACTTATGAGAAATGGCATAGATGTGGCACATCTGTACACCAGCCAGTTAAGCAATTCTAAGAGCTTGAAATAGTACAAGAAAATGCATTTTGCTGTTCAAGTTGGCAGTCCCTTGGTATGCAGTATAGACTCCATGCCCACATCTCCTGCCCTGTTAATCCCTTATTTTGGGAAACAAGTTTCCTGATGGCTTTTTTAAAAATAAAATCATTTTGGAAGTGTAATATACAAATATAAAAATATAGAAATATGAGTGAACAGCTCAGTGGATTTTCACAAAGTAAGCATGCCCATGTAACCCCCACTAGACCAGGTAATAGAACATTCCAGGCACTTTCACTCCCTCTTCAACCCTCACCACATGCCCCCTCCCAGTCAACTCCTCTTCAAAAGAAACTACTCTTCTGCCTTCCAGTATATCAGTTCAGTTTTCCTAATAGTTAATAAAATAACTTTATTATAATTTTTTTCAAAGATATATAAAAGTAGAGGGAACAGTAGAGTGAATCTCCTTGTACCCATCACCAGCCTCATTAATTATCAACTCATGGCCACTCTTATTTTCTCTGTACCCAACAAACTCAATTTCCAGCTTAAATTATTTTAAAACAAATCTCAGACAATATATAATTTTATAAGTCATTATTTCAGTAGGCATTTCTAGTCATAAGGACTCCAAAAACATAGTAAAATACCACTATTACACCCAAAATTTTAGAATAATTTCTTCATGCTGAAGAAACGACTCAGTTCAAATCACCCCTATTTTGTCATAAATGTATTTTTGTTTTGTTTTGTTTGTTTGTTTGTTTTTTTAGTTTGCCTTTTAAAACTGGTGTCTGAATAAGGTCCACATATTAACAAATTTTTGTTAGCATTTTTATTTTTCAAAACACTTCTTACTGCATTAGAACATATATTCATAAAAGTGCTCGAATCATAAGTGTACAGCTGATGAGTTGTCAGAAAATGACCACACTGACATCAAGACACCCACATTAGAAACTAGAACATGGCCAGAACTTCAGAAGTCCCTTGGTACCCTTTTCTTCACTGCCTCTTAGCAAAAGTAGCACAACCTTGACTAAATATATTGGCAGGTGGCTTTTAAAATTTTTGGTTTTTTAAATTTAATTATCCTTCTCATGAATTCTTGTTGGCTGTGGTGCATGACTATGGCTTTTGGGGTGGATTTCTGTTGGCCATCTATTTTCTGGGTGACAGTCTTTGGGTGATTAGAGCTTCCGCCAATCCCCAGCCTCCAACTCCAATGTAATGAGTATCACGAAAGCAAAGAAATGCAGAATATTCCCAGTGTTCCAGCCCTCTCTGGGAGAAGTTTCTCTGGTTTTCCTGAGCATTCCTCAGGAGTCCTGGCCCTCTTCCTACCCATTTGCTTCCCAACAGTGCTGGTCAGGCAGACTGGAGACCAAGCTTAGTAACTGCAGCTGATTGGCCAAAGCTCATACAGCAATGCCTTCATCATTTTATATAGAAAAATTCTTTTAAAATATTGAGCTTGGTTTTGATATTGATTTTTAAAATAATTATCATAAAAAAGGGATAGCATGGAAAATTCCCAAAGAGCAGTAAGATTTGGAAGAAATAAATAAGTATAATTTTATACTGGCTCATAATTTACTGTTGCTAGTCACTCTTTAACTATGCCTTAGGTTGCAGATTTTTTTGGTTTGCTTCTGTCCTAAAAGGCACCAACTGGGACCTCTACAGAGTGGAGTACAGAACTTCATTTTTTCTTTGTATATTCTAGGATTGAAAGACCTCATGTTGAATCGGAGATGGGACCCTCTGCTGGTCATGATGATGTCTATGGCCCTAAGCCCCAGGATGCCAAAAAGAAGGTCCCCTCTGAAGAAATAAGGCCCGCTACTATTGATACTCACCAAAACCTTGGAAAACTACCAGCAGCCTCTCAAATCCTGGACAGTATCCTGAATAACTCTGATTATAAACTGCACCCTGGCATTGACAGTAAGTAACAGAACACAGTTCTTCCCTCCCAGAGGGGAGAGGGTTTGAGGGCATAAGTATTGAGAGTGAGTAGGTTAGGGTACCATGCATGTGAGCAGGAACATCTGTTGCTCACCTGTCAGGTGAAAGGTCAACTATAGCTCAGCAATGCCATTTACCTTGGTTTAGACTTTTCCCTTCTCTCACCCCATTTTTCCAGGTATAAAATGAGATGACTGGACTAGGTCATATGATCTTTGAGGTATGTCTAACTCTTAACAGTCTATGAATTGGTTCTTGCCATGAAAGAACAAAGAAAGAAATAGGATTGAATGTTGAAACCATATAGTCTAACCCTTATCCTTCTCCCTTTTTCTCCCCTCAGACCACACCCTTTCTTGTCCCATGCCCTTGTTGGAAACTTACCTCTGCTACTTCTGCTTTCTTTACAGAGAAGCCCACTGTGGCCACTGTTGATCTTATCCTTGATCCTATCTCTATCCTGAAGAGGAGTACTGAGCTTTGATACAGTATCTCCCAACTTAGGTAGCTGAACCATGAGGCTTTTCACATACTTGTTTTTTCTGCTCTGTGTGTCTATAACACAAGTTTGGGGCAAAGGGAGAGGTTTTAACCAACACTGACTTGAGAAGGAAGCTGAGAAAGGTAAAGCCCCTAGCTGCCTGAAGAGGACCTTCAGAATCCTGACTACATCTTCCAGTCTTTCATTCAAAATAAAAATAATAAAGCAACTTTAAATACCACAATGGAATGGCTTGTTTCTTCTGATAATGAATTTTATGAACTTTAATCTATAGCTAGCAACTCTTCCTTTAAGATGTTTCTCTAATTTTACCCTGGTTCCTTCTTTCCTTTTCCACTGCTATCATTCTAGTGTCAGTACTGTCCCCAGTTAGCCTTAATTATCTCCCACTTGAAATACACAAAATTCAAGGTTTCTGCTTACCTCAGTCCACCTACTAACCAACCTCCTGAGTGATGTGCCTCCTGCAATTCTGACCCTGCTTAAAGCATGAAGTTTAACCCCATACTCTAGCAGTCAAGGACCTCCAATGGCTGGAGCCAACCCAGGACTCTGGTTTTATTTCTTTTAACCCCTTTAGAGACCACATGCTCTACTCACAGTAGACTGTGGGTACGCTCAAACTATCTTGTGCCTCTGTGTCATTGTTCAAGGTATGCCATTGCTCAAATTTTCTGTTCGTCATAAGCTTATCCTTCAGGGTTTAGCTCAAATAACATCTCTTTTATGGCATTTTTCCTGACCTCTGCAGCTATTTATTGCTCCCTTCTTACACGATACTCCTCTCTTTAACACTCAGATCTTTTTAGATTATATCCTAGTTGTTTACTTGACCTTCCTTACCTCGTTATGTTGTAATTATGTGCTCTATGTCTGCCTTGCTCCTTTGACTATGGACTTCTTAATGTCAAGGACTCAGTATATGCTAGGTGAACAAATGAATTGTGAAAAATATTTTGCACAAGTCATTTTCATATACTCGGCCTGATCATGAGAAAGGCTGTGGTAACCAACTCCATTGTAACCATAGACTTGGCCCGGCCCAATAAGCATCATTGGGTGAGCTCAGAGTCCAGGCTCTGTGATGGGATTTGCAAATAGACACTCAAAGGTAAGTAAAAATTTATGGTAGATCAAGATGTTTATATAAGCTGAGTGGAGGGATGAGATTCCCCTTCATGATGCTTTGTTTGGTTACCAGGTTCTTGAGGTATGGTGTACTTATGTATTGCTATGTAACAAATTACCCCAAAACACAGAATCTTAAAACAATAAATAGTCATTAGCTCACAGTTCATGTGGGTTAGAAATCCAGGCACGATTTAGCTGGATCCTCTGTTTCAGGGTCTTTTACAAGGCTCAACTGAGGGAAGATCCACTTTCAAGCCCTCACATGTTTGTTGGCAGGATTTAGTACATTCTGGCTGTTATCTAGGGGTTTCCCACAGTCCTTGCCATGTAGGCTTCTCCACAGAATAGCTCACAACATGAAGCTTGCTTCCCTCAGAGTGAGCAAGTACATGAGAAAAGGTATTCACAAACTTGTAATTTTGGGAGTGACATCCCATTGCTTCTATAGTATTCTATTCATCAGAAGCAAGTCATTAGGTCCAGCCCACAGTGAAGTAGAGAGGATTACACAAGGGCATGAATACCAGGAGGTGAAGATCATTGAGGGCCTTCTTAGAGTCTGCATAATACACATGACCATGATCAAGTAAAGACCTGTAACCATTAGAATGGAATACTGGGAAACAGGGAAGAGAAGCATGAGAGCAGACAGATTTTGAGTTTCTGTCGACATTTTGAAGTTTTTTTTTTTCTTCCCTTGATGTCAGATTTACTTTTTGCTATTACCAATGTGCTTACTACTAAATGAGTATGAATTTAGCAGTTAGTTTTATTTAAATTGTTGATATTCTAAGAAATACTGGGTTCTGAGCAAGACCAGAGACTGTGGTCTTGTGGTCCCACCATCATGACCATTGTTTACTCTTAATAGAAAATGGATCTTTTAGGTTATTAGTGTGGGGATGGAGAAAGTGGCCTGAAGAGTAGTGGACAATTTGTGGCTATAACCTCCTTGCTATATGTGTAAGATACAATTTGGGGAAGACAATTTCTATCATCTGCAAGAGCCCTTGTGGAAGCAGAGCAGTAGCCCCACTCATAGTAGCTTGAATGCCCTATTTCTTCTTGCTCTGTCATTATTAATGTTGATAGCATTGGCCTCACCTGAGGTGCCAAGAAGTCCTGATACCTGACAATCCCAAGTGATATAGTATAATAATTCAGCAGTCACCGAACCTGGCATCCAACACAGAACTGGTCCAAATAGGAGTCAACAACTTGATTTTCTTTTGCCAGTAAGGTGGTGCTTTAGCCAAGTGCCTTTAGAAGATCCCAAACACTTATGTGATATTAAAGTTCCTGAGTAGTCTGGTCTTCTACACAGTTCCAAATTGTTCTTTAAAACTGTGGGAGGTTCCAGTTATTGTACAGCCTACTTTTCCCTGGTGACACTATAGAATCCTATGGTTGGTGTGGCTCTCACATAGCCAGAGCACTTGCCAATAAACAGAGCATATTTGTCTCCTTGGATCCTCATGATAGCCTGTGTGGCAGGCAAGGCTGCCACTAGAATCCTCACTTTATGTTTGAGACAATTGAGTCTCTCAGCAAGGTTGTGAGTCCCCAGGATTCTGTTAACAGAGTAGAAGTGATTGTTTGAGTGTTCTTTGAGTTCCAACACCTTTCAGTCAGATGTTATGTGGAAGACTGGAATTGTCCTCAGGAAGAGAAACCTGAGCCCACAACGTGGATTTAAATCAAGTGTTTCTACCAGTCTTCTGACTTAAGCTTAGAAGACAGTGATCAGTCTTGGAACAACTTCCCATCACAACATAAACAATTGCTAAGGCTGCTTCTTGCTGTGGTAATTATCGCAAGTGATTCTAATTAAGCCAATTCTTGACACCGAATTTCTAGAGTTTCAGCTGAGCTAAAAGAGATGTATATCCCAAGCTCCCTTGTCAAACTGGGGAAAGTTGAACTGTTAGCTATCAGTTGATGTGTTGTGAACTTACATCACTTGTTAAATAGAAATTAAATGTTCATTTGAAACACTATAACATAGAGCAGGAGGACAGCATGGATTGTGGAGGGGAAGGCTTTTCATGAATACCAAGTACTTCATATGACCTGAGAACAAAGGAGGCTCTTCAAGCCAAGCTGGAACTACCAGCCACTTGGGACTGTAGAAACACACACTCTAAAGGCCACTTGTGAAGGTTGGAGGGACAAGGCAGGGCAAGGCTGAGGGCTCCCATGTGAATGGTAGCCAGGTTCTGCCACCTTTTTTCTGTCTGCTTTCTTGGACTATTCCAGGGAACATTCTCAGTGTGGGAGGCTGGATCCCAGCAATTTGGCAGCAGTTCTCACCACCTTTTGGAATAGGCAGCAAAGGCAAGCAGGAATTGTCTTGACTTTCCCTGTGCAGGCTCTACTGACCTCCACGGTTATGGGTGTCTGGTTGGTGTTCATTGTTTGATGCAGGATAACTCAGGTATTCCACAGAGGGAAATTGGATCTCCATACCCAAAGGGATTGTTGGTGCAAGTGCAGTAAACACTGGAGAGGGAGATCAGTGAAGGTTGTCCTAGGACAAAGCTATGGTAATGGTGCTCTGAGCATGAGCCAATGTGCTGTCATTAACTATTTGTGTGATTTGGATAGGCCCTTTTCTCTCTGAGCCTCAGTTTCCCTACCTCTACAGTAAAGGCAGTTGGGTTAGCCCTCAAAGTTCTACCTTGGCTTAGTTCTGGCACTTACTTATTGTTCAAGTTGCTTGCAGTTTTATTACAGTCTGTTTTTTCTCCCTTCAGTACCAGTGGTGCAAATTTCCAGTTGCTCCTGCTTCTTCCTATTAAACATCCTTCTTGGTGTTTAACAGTTTATGGAATAGACAATATCTGGAGACCAAATAATCATGGATATATATATCTATGCATACACACACACACACACATTCAGAGGTTAAATGCTCTTGTTTAAGAGGAAAAACAAAACAAAAAATGATTTAAAAAACATGCAACTAAATAGACATTTCTCTTGTGACTCAAAGCACTTCATTTTTTAATGTAATTCTGAAGGATGAAGGATTTAGGTTAATTAAAACTTGTGTTCCCCAAATAAAAGCTGAAAGGGGAAACGTTGCTGTATATAATCAGAGTTGTGTGTGTTTATGAATGTTTGAAATGATTTTGAGCTGAGATCTTTGATTTCCTATGAAACTATGGGAACTGAGAGAGTGTTGACCTGGCTGGAGTAGCACCACAGTCCTATAAGGGAGTGGTGAAATGATGATTCCAGCCCACGCAAAGCCACCATTGCCTGCCTGTTTCTAGATGAAATGTATCTTCCCAGACTGTTATCCATTTGGGAACATGTATTTCTTTTTGGAATACCGGAAAATAGAAAACTCCTACAGCCGAACTCATGTTGCTTTCCTCTATGCAAACCTAAGTGGGTTCCTATCTACTTGATAAGCTTGTCACAGGATGCCATAGGGATGTTCTTGGCATAGCCCCAAGTGTGTGCTTTATTTTATCTTTTCCACCAAGAGTACTCCATTGACATCACCTTGTGCCAGACCTGGTATGATGAACTCTTCCATTAACAATGGCAGCTTTGAGAACTTAGTTCTGAATGGCAACATGGTGAGCCAGTTATGGAACCCAGACAGTTTTTTTAGGAATTCTAAGTGGACTCTTGTATATGAAATCACTATGCCAAACCAGGTGGTCCACATCCACAAGGATGGCAAGGCGTTGTACACAATTAGGTATGTCAGACCTCTGGAATCTTACCCCTTGGGACTTTTCCTCCCCTTCTGAGAATTTTCACTAAAGAAAGATGGACAGAGGTTTCATCCTGAATGCTACTTCTAAGGGCTTTTCTAAACTTTCCAAAACCATGAGCTCAACTCTCTCATGTACAGACACTAAGGCTTCAAAATAGAAAAATACTGCTTAAGGCCATACGCCAAGTTTGTGGCAGAGCTGGGACTAGTACCCAGTTACTTGGCTCCAAGTCCAGAGCTCCCTGACTAGAATGTATCAGTATGACTGCATTGCTTGGACAATTCCATCCCAAGTGAGCATTGACTGTAAAGACATATCCACGGTGGTGGAATTGTCTAGGTGGAACAGTAAAACATGGTAAAAAAGATAGCAAAGACCAGGCTAGGTACCCGACTGCCTGGCAGGGGAATGTGGTGTGGGATGGGGAGGTGTTAGAGAGCTGGAAAGTGGCAGATTCTGGAAGCTGGGATGGGCAAAAAACAAAAGCCTATCTAAGTCAGTCCCTACACTTCTCTATTGATGGAGACCAGAGTAGCCAGATTCTTCCAAGCTGTTCTTTCTCTATTTTTGTCTTTCCTTTGAGCTCTTTGTCTCAAATCCCCTTGCTGCCACTCATTGGTGGTGGTCTCTGGGCCCAAGTTGAGTGAACGTGTAAGTACTCAGGGCCAGCCTAATGAGGTTTTTTTCTCTCTTCCAGGGTGACCACTGATACTGGATGTTCATTCCACATGCTCAAATTTCCAATGGATTCTCATTTTTGCCCTCTGTCTTTTTCTAGTTTCTTAGATTTCTGGGGCTCCAAAGTCATGCTGGGCTCCTTCTTTTTCTCATCCTTGTCTTTTACATTTCTCCTAAGTTGGTGTCAAGTTTTCCCAGGACCTCCCAATTCATGCCCATCTCCTTTCCTGCTGACAGTGCTGTGTTGTTCAACCTGGGCCTCATGTTGGGTTCCTCCCTCTTCATTTCACTCCATCTCAAGTCTCTTACCCACCACTGAAGTGTATCTTATGTATGTCTGCTCCTCTCCATCTCTACTGTCACTAATTTGGATAGGTTTTTGTCATCTTCCACTTGGATTTTGCAACATTTTCACTTTGAAGCTGAACATGTCCAAAACTAAATATTTTGTCTACTCCCAACCTTTACCCCCAAAACAAAAGTGCTGTTTCTGTGTTCTCACATATCTCATTGAACTGCATCATCACCCACTCAGTTGTTGAAGCCAAGAACTTTGATGTTTCTTTCTTTTTCACCTGTTACATTTAATCAATTACATCATGTTGGTATTCCCTTCAAAATCTCTATTGATCCTGTCTGTTCCTCTGCATTTTCACTGTTACAGCTTTGAATCCTGCCTTCACTTATTTTATTATGCCAGGATTACTGCACTGGCCTCACATAACTAGTATCCTTGTCAACAATCCATCTTCATATTATGACCAGAGTGGCCTAACTGAAGAATCATTTAGATCAGGTCACTTCTTAGTTTCAAAACCTTCTTTAACTTTCATGTATCAATTCCAAATCATTATAATGTCTTTCAAGGCCCTTCACAAATTGGCCCCTACTACCTACTCCTGCATACCTCATTTAACCTCTGTGAGCTAGCCATCCTGAACTTTTTCCATTTCCATAATACATCAGATATGTTCACCTCTCTGTGCATACAACACCCTCTTTGCCCCTTCAAGCCTAATACATGTAGAGAAAACTAACTCTACTTTAAAGACTTATGGGAATGTCACTTACTCTAAGAGGTCTTTTCTGGGTATGTCTGTAAGTGATCTTTCCTCCTCTGTTTCCCTACTCTCCCAAGAGCAGATGTTTCTTAGAGCAATTCTGAGAATTACAGATGTATACTCACTGTCCAACTCAATAAAATGTGAATGCTTGAGCGCAGGGTTCCTGCCTTGTACATCTCTGTATTTCCAGCACAAGGTCTGGTATTGAGGAACACTCAGTAAATGAACTTATTGATTGAACTTCAACAGTGAAGTAAGAGAAGCAAGGTACCACACTGGTGAAGCCAGAGTCAGGACTCCAAAGCATTGTTCAGACTCCATGTTGATGGAGACCTCCACAGGGCTTCCCAGTCTCACATGACTCTTCTTCTCACATTGCTTTACAGTTTCCTATCCTGAGAATGAGATGATGTACAAGTGGAAAGATTTCAAGCTTGAAATCAATGAGAGTAATTCCTGGAAGCTCTTCCAGTTTAATTTTACAGGAGTGAGCAATGAGACTGAAACTATCTCAACCATAGCTGGTAAGTGTCCCTTTGAAGCCAGGGCTAAGGAGAGGCCCAGGAGGGTAGTAAGGATGAGTGGAGGTGGCCATCCATCCATACAAATGTTATGTAATCATCCCATGAAAATATTGTAGAACATGGCTCCTGTCTTGTTAATGCTAAGCACTTACAACTGTTTGCAGAGGAAACTGAGACTTTGTAACTACATCTCAGTCTCATCTGCAAAGAAGTAAGTGTTTTGCCAAGCTCTTGAGAGGGTAAGTAAGTAAAGTTATTCTGTTGTCAGAATTTGCAACCAGCTTTGTCATGCAGACCCTTTAGTTTCAAGTCTTTGTTACAACTGACCTACTTGAATGACTTTGGGGAATGGAGCTCATGTGAGTTCTCCATACCCAGAACAAATCCAAGCCAGCTGAGTGAGAAGCAAAGACTTTCCTAATAGGAGGTGGAGGCTAGAGTTCTAATGTCAACTAGGTGAGGTCTGGGGTAGTATGGAGGAAGTTTCAGCAGCTACAGTGGCTGCTGCATCAACATATATTTTAAAGGAGTAGCTCTGGCAAACACAGGTTCCTGTCAAAGGCTTCATGGTGAATTCAACATGGACATGTGGTGATCACTGGTTTTCTGACCTTTTCCCAAGAAGGATCAGAGGAGAGGGTCTTGGGTCTCTTATACTTCAGCGTCCAACTAGGTGTGTGCATCTTTGCTTGTGTTCCCAGGTGATCTGAATGAGGAGCCAAGGGACCTCCTCAGGATTGCTCCCAGAGCAGCCCTGGAAAACCTGTTCACACACACTGACCAAGTCAAGGCAGTGGAGACACTGTCTTCATTGTTTCCAGAATGCAGATGAAGCCACTCACCCAAACAGCCATTTGTTACAGGACATGACTTGTTTTGTTTCCATGAAGCTGGGCAGAAAATATGTTTTTGCTTTACTTGTTGAGTTGATCACTGGGTGAGGGATAGCTCATGCTTATGTGGCTAGAGCTTTGCTTGCACAGTAATAGGCAGGGGGAGAGGTCTGCTTTACAAATGCTTTCTTTTTTCTTGGGGATTCTGGGTAAGCAATTTTACTACCTTTGATTTGGGATCCTTGATCTTCTGCTAACTAATTGTGGGCTTGCCTCTTGTGTTTCTGGACCTCAGTTTCTCCAATCAAGTAGGAGACCCATCATCAAAAATGACAGAAGAGACAAGGCCCAAGGGCTTTCAAGTCACTAGTGGTTCTGTTTAGTAGATGGTTTTGCATTGTTTCAAAATGGTACCCTAGTGACTACAAAGCCCTAGAGCCAGCATCATCACCAAAGCAATGATAATAGGTAAGCAGCATTATTAGGGAGAAAGAAGGAGGGCTTCTTTCTCTTCTGCTAGAGACCAATTGATCTGCAATCATGGTTTCTCCAGTATCACAGTTATCTTTGGGATTGATCCCAAACTCTTCCACTTCCAGTTGGCTCAAGGGAAGTTTTCTTCATAAGTAGCAAACTTAAGAACTAAGCTCCTAAATGTTCATAATGCTGTGGTAGCTTGCTACTGTGGCTTAGAACCAGAAGGCTCTTAGAGAGTCCAGACTTGCCCTCAGAGAGTACATCAGCTTTCACTGGTGGGTGTTGAGACTCTAATGGAATTGTATCTGTGATTAGGACTTCATTTTCTTGAAAAGGAGTTTCTTCCTTCTCTAGATAATTCTGTCCATCAGAAAACTCTCCCTGTTCATCTGAAATTGAAATCTCTGGAACTTTTACCCATTGGATCTCGTTCTTTCCCCCTAAAATTATTCAACTTACTTTTCCACAGGGTTAAGATTAAAGAACCAGTATTATGGTTTCAAGCCTGGGTCACATTCTTTTATAGGCTATAAAGCACTAGTTTCTTTTTCTTCCTTTGTTACTCAAAGGTTTGGGTCTACTCATCCTTCTAGTCCTGATTCTCTGGACAGAGTCTTTTTAATTGTGCTCTTTTGACAGTGCATTAACCAATTGGGGTCTGGCCAAAGCAGATAAGAGCAAAAAACAACATCTTTAGCCTCAGGTATTTCTGCTCCCCAGCCCTCCATTTTTTCCTTACCCATGCTCCTGCATTCCTCAGAAATAACAAAGTGGTATGTGTTAGTATTCTTCTATCAGCCTTCAAAGATAAATTTATATCTGTTGACAAGTGGAGAAGGCCCTTCTTTGGATGGAATAAATAAAATAAAAATAGAAAAAGCCAATAAGATAATAAATCTTCTTTCAATAAGAATATATAAACTCAGCAAAGTTCTATGTGAGTAGTTGTAGCTAAATAAAGGTGTCTTAAATTTTAGTCAAGACCCCAGGGAAAGAGAACTAGGAACTTGATAAATACATTCTGGCCAGTAGGCAAGTGTGAGTGGTCCCTGCAGCAACCCTGGAGGAGTTCTATACCCAAAGCTACTAGTCGAGACACAGGTATTCCACTGACTCCAGGACACTTCCTTGCCTTTTTCCAGAATATGTGTGAAGTCTTATTCATTGAATATCAGTGCTGCCAAGGTGAATAGGAAAGGCTAATCTTCTCACTCAGCTCCAATACACCCAAGCTGGACAGGTGATCTACATTCCAAAATAGGAGGACACATGATCAGGTTAGTGCTCTCCTTGCTGCATTGTGAGGCAGTAGTAAGACTTGCTGAGAATGTACTAGGTTCCAGGCTCTGTCAGACTTAATGGGCACGACTCAAGCCATAGGACTCACATAAGCCCTGCTCTGAAGTGGTTTAAAAGGGGTTTCAAGCCAAGGGATTCTATAGCATCACTGAGGTGGGAGTTTGGAACTTAGCTTCACTAAGGAGCCAGCATTTGAGCTATTACACTTCCAATGTGATGTTGAGAGTGAAAAGGGATGTTTTGGGTTCAGAAAAGCCCCCCAAATTCCTGGAATCATGATGGGCATGCAGTGTTTGAGATGAGTGTGTCATAGTATAAGGCAGCATGTAGGGTACAATAGAAGATGCCAACTGGAGAGGTAGGTTGTCATCAGTTCCTGTAGAAACCATCACCATCTAGAGAGAGAGCCAACATCAAGGACATGATGCTCAACTGAATGTGAAGACCTCAGCCTCCTTGTGGGTGTATACTCTGCAGACCAGACATTTAGAGGACTGAATGAAATTTTTATTTTCAGCTAAATCTTTTGTTTTTCCAAAACACTCAATTGAGTTAAGATAATAGATTAATATAACAGGGAGTTCAGAGTTGGAATATTGGTATAAATAGGAATGCTATTGCAGGAAATCTGAGAATAGATAAGATTAGCTTAGGGTGTGGTGGTGTGTGCATATATATGTAAGATGTCAGTTTGAGTCAGGCCGTGGTAGGTGTTTAGTATCAAGTTACAGAGTGTAGACTTGATTCTGTAGCTCTTCTGGAGCAGGTAACCCCCAGAGGTTTGGGGTTAGGTGAGTGATTTCTTTTGGTGATCAATGGAACAGTGCTAATTAAGGCGTTTCACCAGCATATGAATGGATGGAAAGGAGGCCTAATGGATTTGGTCATTCCCACACTACCACACAAGCCACCTTTGGTTCATTTCCTGAGAACAAACATTGTAAGGCCAAGCAGTGCATGTGTAAAGCTGTGATTCTGGAGAGTAAATGTGGTGGCAACTCAACGGAGTAAAAGTCTCAACCATCTGGACATTAGCTGTGTGCACTGATATCTAGAGAGCCAGCTGATTTTTCACTTTCACCTGACTCTTCTGCCATCCTGGAAAGACAGATGTAGGGTGTGGGACAGTGAACTGAGAAAGAAGCAATTAAGGTTCTGGTCCTGGCTTAGCTCTTAACTGACCATGGCTCTTGCAGGGTGTCTCCTTTCTGGGCTTCTGATTCTGTGTGTGGCACTGGAATAATGTGCCTCTATCCTAGGATTGTGGTGGGGATCCCTTGGGCTGAACAATGGGACATTTAATATACATGTCCTGCCTGGGAGAGACTCTTATGTCATTGCTGTAAAGAAGTGGTATTTTTTGTTTTCTTAGTGATTTAATGATTATCATGCTTTTCTTCAATGTGAGCAGGTTGTTTGGCTTAAATGCCATTCAAAACTATGTCCCTTCTTCTGTGACAGTGATCATGTTCTGGGTTTCCTTTTGGATCAAGAAGGACTCTGTTCCAGCCAAGACTTCTTTAAGTAAGTGGGTAAGGTGGGCATCCACTTGGGCACAGAATTGCTTTGTCAGGGGTCAGCAGTGTGATATATGGATAAGTAGCTAAGCCTACCTCTGCTACTGTGCTTTAACAGGAATCACCTCTGTTCTCCCCATGACCACATTGGGTTCTTATTCCCAGAAGAATTTCCTACATGTCTCCTACATTACAGCCTTGGATTTCTGTATTGCCATCTGTTTCCTCTTCTGCCTCTGTACTCTGGTGGAGTTCGCTATGCTTAACTTCCTGATCTACAACCACACGGAACCCGGTTCTTCTCTGAGGCTTCACCATATATGAGCTGAGTATGGGAGTGGTAACATGGTTTTGGAATATTGAGGCATGCAAGTGAGGGCACTAGGATTCATGGAACATGGGTACCAGCTCACTGAGTGATGGAGGGTAACCTGAAGTGTTACAGAGAGTTGACTAAACTTTTTAATGTGATGGTGGGAATTCTAAGGGACAAAAACAGTGTGCCAAGGACAGAATCCCTAGAAACCCCTGAAGCAACACTTAGGCTTGGTTCATCTTTCCTTGACGTTTTCCCCTTCCTTATTCATTTCAGCCTTGTATCCATGTCCTTGGCCTTACCCCTCCCTGTGCCTGTGCCTACCAACAGCAGCAGAATGCTTTTGTGTGTGAGTTCGAGGACTCTGCAAAGGAGAATGATGAAGAGGATGGCCCATTTTGCCCAGTTCAGCAGTCGCTCCATATGAGTCTCACCCAGCACTGTTGCAGCTGTCCATACCTGTGCATGGTCCACAGTTGTGAGGGCAGTATGTGGCAGCAGAGCCACCTCTTCATCCACATCCATAACTACTCATGAGTTATTTTCCCAGTGACCTTCTTCTTCTTCAGAGTGCTCTACTGGCTTGTTTGCCTTAACTTTTAGGTACCAGCTGGTACTCTGTGGGACAGCCTCCTAAGTTCCCCAGGAGGTCCCATATCCATTGCCAAGGGAGTTTGGGGAAAACCGAGGCAGCAAGAGCAACTACAGAGTGTCTTTTCTTAGCCCTCACACTGCCCCCAACTCAGGCCTCAAGGGGTTTAAAAATTGTAGGCTGTCAGTGATCAGCTCCCTAACACCATGCCCACATATGAGTCGATTAGCTATCTCCCAACAGTGCTGACAACCACTGCTTTTTTCAAGAATCATAATACTGCCTTTGTGGTGCTCCAGGCCCATCTCTGGCCTCAAGCCTCAAAGTGCACAGACCAGCTGCTTGCCTGTTTCTGACACTTCCTTAAGATGCTGGGCAGCAGTGTAATAGGTGTGTGTGCGTATACCCCTATCCTTAGGTGAGATTATTATATTTTTGGTTCTATTTCCCTGCCTGCCCTTCCCCTGCAGATAAACAGAGACTGTTATTACCCTTTTAAGAGGAAAGCCAAGGGTTAAGCTTCTTTGGGACAATATCTTTTCCTCTGCTATTGTGATGCTTCCCTCTCCCTCCCCTACCCCCTTCTCTTCCACTCACCTGTACTATCAATTCAATGCCTTGCATCCAGTGGGTTTCTATTTTTGTGGGATAACAGTAATAAACCCTCATTTTATATGCCACCTTATCACTTTTCTTTGAACCCTGGGACTCTTAATATAACTCCCCCAGTGGCTTTCCCAACCTTGACCCAGGTGCTAGGCCATGGTGACTTCCGGAGGCCAAGAAACTTAGGGAACTAAGTTTCTTTGCAGTGTACATTACTTGCATTGGTTGATGCCCTCTAAAGCACAGCATAGAATTTCTGTCTCTTCTTTGGCCCCTGGATCCATGAGCCAGTCCACTCTTATCCCTGGGGCACTCTCACAATCACAGTCCATCAATTGAATTCCCTTAAATTTGTACAGCACTTTACCTTTTTCAAAGCACATTTGAAAAATTATTCTATTCTAGCCTTATTATAGCCTTGTGAAAGATTCAGGGCAGGATTCTTATCTGCACTTTTCAGATGAGAACCCTTAGGCACAGATTTCTATGCGACTGTGGATCTCACTGGAAACTACCCAAGAGCCCACTGTCACTTTCTAGACTATATGATAAAGCTAGGCATCTGTGTTCACCATGATTCAATTCTACAGCCTCTGCTGGCAACCCAATGGCAAGGACCAGAGTGGTGGCCTCTCTTCAGCATTGGCCTGCTGAATTCCTGGGTCTCAGGTGCTCAAGTTGTCCCCAAGATCCAACCTCTCCTGGCTCTGGTAATCCAGTGAAGTGCATTTGGACATGCTGAATGAAATCTGTGTCTATTTTGATGGGAGGTGTAAGGTAGGGCTTCCATCTGCTATTTGTTATCATCACCTGAAAAGGGGAAATATATCAATAAGTTTATCAGCAAAGCATGAAATGTGTGGCAAGCATCCAAGTTTGTTCTCAGCTCAGATTTTAAATCTTAAAGTAATGACCCAGACTTTTGACTGTCTTGCTCTCCCATCAATGACCTGCAGACCTACAAAGCATGCATATGTACCTGCTCTCAGTGCAGAACTGAAAAGAAAAGAGTGACTAACATTTTTGCCATAATATTAGCCAACAATTATGCCATAATGTTCTTGAAATAATGCTGAAATACCTTCCTTATAAAAAATCTACATGTTCTATTGTATATTTTCTGATATTTTAACCTATGGCAAATTACAAGTAACAATTTAGAACAAGGTAAATAACTCCTCATTTTCCTTTACACTAGAATGATACAGAGAGAAAACAAAAGGTAGCCTGACTCTTGAGCAATGAAAAAGCCAAATTTGTGAGCACTCATATTCAAATTCATTTTGAAACAAAGAAGAAGTGCAGATGGAATTTCTTAGCCACACTGCAATAAAGCTAAAAACAAATAAAAGCCGCATCATTTGTAAATTTTTAAAAACTCATGCAAACAGTTCTTTAAAAATGAAGAAATTAGGTTCTATTAACTAATGTCACCCCAATAAATTAGATAAGAAAAGAAATTGGCAAACAGGTTGAGACATGCAAGCATGGAACAGATTGGCAGATCTCAGAGGGAAGTGGTGCAGGGTGGGAAGAGACTAACCAAAGAACGTGTATGCATATATCAATTGCCATAGACACAGAAAACAGTGTGGTGAAGACCTGGGGTGGGGAAGGAGCCAAGTAGAGGGGGTAATGAGGAGAAAAAAGGGATATATCTGAAATATTCTCAAAACTAAAAATAAATTTTAAAAAATAAAATTAAAATGAAGAAATTAAAAACATAATTGGTTGCATGATATCTAAAATTAATGAAAAAAACTAAATATAAAAAAAACACCATAAAAATTTTTGGTGGACTTTAAAGGGGAGATTGACAGCAACACAAATATAGGAGGGGACTTTAACACCCCACTGTCAGCAATAGACAGATCATCAAGACAAAAAATCAACAGGGAAACACAGACCTTAAATGACTAGAACTAATGGATTTAATTGACATTGACAGAACATTTCATCCCAAAGCAGCACAATACACATTCTTCTCAAATGCACATGAAACATTCTCAAAAACAGACCACATGTTAGGGCACAAGGCAAGTCTCTACAAATACAGGAAGACTGAAATCATATCAAGCATCTTCTCAGATCACAATGCTATGAAACTAGATATCAACCACTATAAAAAAACCTCAAATATTCAAACACATGGAGGATAAATAGCATGCTATTAAACAATGAATGGGTTACCAATGAAATCAGTGAAGAAATCAAATATATCATGGAAAGAAATTAAAATGAAGAGACAACAACCCAAAATCTAAGGGACAAAGTGAAAGCAGTCCTGAGAGGAAAATTCATAGCACTACAGGCCTATCTCAGGAAACAAGAAAATGATCTAATGAACCATCTAACACAACAAGTAAAAAACTAGAATGAAAACAGCAAGAAAAGCCCAGAGGAAGTAGAAGGAAGAAATAAAAATCAGAGGATAAATTAATGACATAGAGACTAAAAAAAAAAAAAAAAATACAAAAAAACAATGAAACCAACAGCTGGTTCTTTGAAAAGATAAATAAGATTGATGCACCATTAGCCAGTCTCACTAAGAAACAAAGAGAAGACCCAAATAAACAAAATCAGAAATGAAAGAGGCGATATAACAACTGAGCCAATAGATATACAAAGGATTGTAAGAAAATACTATGAGCAACTATATGCCAACAAATTGGACAACATGAGTGAAATGGACAAATTCCTAAAAGTATACAACCTTCCAAAGCTGAATCAAGAAGAGGAGGCAATCTCAATAGGTGGATAAGATCTAATGAAATTGAAGCAGTAATCAAAAAAACTCCCAGCAAACAAAAGTACTGGACCAGACAGAGTTACAAAAGAGTTTTACCAAGCATAATAAAGAATTAACACCTATTCTATTCAAACTTTTCCAGAAAATTCAAGAGCATGGAAAACTCCCAAACTCTTTATGAGGCCTGCATCATCCTAAACCCCAAACCAGATAAAGACACTACAAAGAAAGGAAAATACAGGCCAATATTCCTGATGAACATAGATGTGGAAATCCTCACGAAACTCCTAGCCAACCAGATCCAGCAATACATTAAAAAGATCATACACCATGACCAAGTGCGATTTATTCTGGGGATGCAAGGCTGATACAACATCTGAAAATCAATAAATGTGATACATCACATAAACAAAAAGAAGGACAAAAATCATAAAATCATGTCAATAGATTCAGAAACAGCATTCCACAAAATCCAGCACCCATTTCTGATAAAAACTCTCAACAAAGTGAGAATAGAGGGGTAATATCTCAACATAATAAAGGCCACATTTGACAAAACTACAAGCAACATCATAGTCAATGGGTAAATCTAAAACCATTTCCATTAAAAAGAGGCACAAGGCAGGAATGCCCACTTTCACCACTCTTATTCAACATAGTACTGGAAGTCCTTGCTACAGGTATCAGAGAGGAAGAAAACATAGAAGGTATCCAAATTGGAAAGGAGGAAGTAAAACTGTCATTATTTGCAGATGACATGATATTGTACATAGAAAACCCAAAGGCTACATCAAAGTACTACTAGATTTGATAAACGAATTTGGCAAGGTAGCTGGATACAAAATCAACATCCAGAAATCAATCACATTCTTATACACCAACAATGAACTTTCAGAGAGAGAAACTAAAAAAACAATACCATTTACCATTGCAACAAAAAAAGTAAGATACCTAGGAATAAACTTAAACAAGGATGTAACAGACCTGTACTCAGAAAACTACATGACACTGAAAAAAGAAATAGAGGGAGATTTAAACAAGTGGAAGAATATACCATGCTC